CGTGGGGACGTCCTCCCGTGGGCCCACCACCTGCAGGAGGATCCGTAAGGGGCTGGTGCAAAGTGGATTGGGCAGCAGTCGAAGGCAGGGGCCTTGACGACCCAATCTCTGGACACGGAGACTAAACATCTCACCTTATTTTAAAAGTGAAATGTATCAGGCCAGTAGACATCAGGTTTATCTTTGGGCCTCATGCAGACTCTACCAGGATGTAAACATAAGAACAATATCACTGAACAATATATCATTCAAGAACACCTGAGCTTTGCACCCCCCGACTTCAAATAGTATAATAAGTGTAGGTAGTGACGGGACCAGAAAGTAGCCTACAGATGTTTTCACTGCTAGTCACATAACCTTGGTCTTGTTGTCATAGCAGCCCTTCTAGAGTCTCCTGAAACCGAACTAGGGACTAAACTACATCCACCTGACTTTTAAGTAGAGATCAGATGATTATTACTGGATCATTCATAAATCTTCACTTATTGATCCTCTGAGACTCTGTTTGCCTCCAGCTGTGGATCAGATGTAAAACTGCTGCAGACACATTAGCTCCACCTCACTAATTAGCACCTCTGGCTAATCAGCTCCATATTACTATCAACCTGCTGCACACACACACACACACACACACACACACACGTGCAGTCATTTTCAAAGACTCTCCTCCTAGTCTTTCCTCATTGCTCCAGTTTTTCTTTGCATCTCTCTTCAGAAGAGCTCGTTTAACCCAGAGTTTTTGTGTGCGCACACACATACACATACGTCTTTCTTCTGCTTTCACTTGTTCAGTTTCAAAAGACTAAATGAGATTACTGTACACACTGTATGCCTGTGTGTGTATGGAGCCTTAAGCTCTCTGTCTCCATGGCAACCCAACCCGAGAAGGTGGGTGGTGGTGGTGGTGGTGGGGTAGATGGGAGTGAATCAAATGGTTAAAAAGAGAAAGAGGGTGGATGGGATAAAAGCTGTTAGAATCTAAAGATTTCTGGCTCTTTCTGTGCTAAGAAGAGATGCGCTGATACTGAGTTTCAGGCCTGATAACTACTACGATACAGTATTAGACAGGTAAAGGGCACATTTTTTAAAATGACAAATTTATTTGTTATAATGTCAAAACAAATGCTTAGAGAGCTTTCACATCTCCGTCATAGAACCTCAAGCAGTGTTTGGAGCTTTAATATGTTTCAAATATGCCACCTTAGAGTGAGAGGTTAAGCTTTATTCCTATGTCCAGGGGTTAGCATATCGTGGCCTTCAAACACCATCCCTTCAGTCAATACTAGAAAATACCACTGAAAGTACATTTACTTAACTACTGTATTCGTACCAGTGTTAAGATTCTTGTACTGTAGAAGAGTATTTGTAAGGATGAAATATTGTATTGTACTTTTCATTGCACTAACAGCTGTAGTTATTTTTCATAATAAAATGCAATGTTAGCTTCCTCTTGACCAGCTATGATCCAGTAATATAATCCAGCATTGTGAAAGTGAGTACTCTTACTCACACTTTAATACTAGATGGTGGACACAGTGGAGCATTTAGCAGCTAGTAGAGACCAAAATCAGCGCTAAAAGAAGAGTAAACACTGGTGTTTGATTCATCAAGTGGACACAGACATGACCCCAACTGAATGTTGCTTCATCACTGCTGGATGTGGAAATAAGGACATGCTTGTTCACCATATTAACTTAAAATGTGATGTTACATCAGTGTTGTGTTCAGTGTGTTTCTGCTGAAAACCAGTGAATGAAAAGAGCAGTCAGTGCAGGTTTTAGTAGTAGTACCGATGTCTTATCATTTAATTGTTTGTGTGCACAAGTGGCATTTAAGGAACAATGTTAAATTATAAAACAGTAGCACGGCTAGAGAAGAGATACAAAGTTAGAAAACATACTCAGTGACACAGGAGTGTCTCTCATTAGCTACCATGAGCTGCTCGTCACACCAGACCATCTATATATATGGTAAAACAATGCATTATATTTTATTTTATATTTTTATGTTAAATAATCTTTAAAGTAACCAGCAACTACGGCTGCAAAATATATCAGCTGACGTTTGTAACAAATCAACAAAGTCCAAACTGATGTTTTCAGTTTAAAGAAATTACTTCCTGTTAAATACAGCAGGAAAAAAAACATTGGTTAATTTTGTTGTGATGCCTTCTGAGATGATTTGTTTCCTCTCTTCGTCAGATTTGACATTTCTTCATGAGAGCTGTAAGACGTTTCATGGCGATCTTGTCAACTTCGAGAAGATGGTGAGTTATTTCTTAAACACATCTCCTTCTTCTCCCTCATGTAAAAATTCAGAATTTGAAACTGAAATTTGAATTTGACATTCAGATTTTGAATGCAATATGTAAATGTTGTTCATTTTGAACACAAGATGTCTCCTGCTTTAAAGCTGCCAACTTAACTAACTTCTTCCTCTAATTTTCCACTGTTAAGGGTGAAATGACAAACGCAAGCAGTATCCCCTCCTGTCCTCTTGTCCCCTCCTGCCCTCTCTCTGAAACTACATCATACAGTATGTGGTCATGACAGCAGTAATAACCGGCTCCAGAACTAATGTATATGTAATATAGAGCCTGTGGGGGGTGTTGGTACAGCAGGAAGAAAACAGACAATTTTTTACTTGATTTATCTGAAGTTTTGCTAAATCTTAGTTAATGCGGCTTTAAGTTTCATACTGGTCCACGATTGGCTCTGGTCTAGCTGTGATGTCATAAATGTCGCGGGTACGTTCAGGTGTTCCACTGACTTTTCTCCCTTCAGCTGATAAATGTGAGACTCTGCAGTAAAGGGGGTAAAGCCAGACCAGACTTGTTGCATAAATAAGAAATAAACCAGTCTCAACAAACAACAACCCAACAGAATCAGACTGGAACAGGAAGTTTGAAGCTCATCTCTTCCTCTCTTGTCCCCTTAACCACCACATTATACACTTTTTCTCCTTTTCATCTTTGTCTTATCCCTCCTTCTTCTGCAGCATAAAGTGGCAGAGATGGTGAGGACCATCAGACGATACAGGAGCACTCAGCTAGGTAACGAGCACACACACGTGCACTCTGTGTGAATGAATCTCTCTGGTCAGGTCAGGTCTCAAGGTGAACTCTATAACATTATGCAGAAGTTTTACCTGTTCTTGTGTTGACATGCTGCTGCTGTGACCTTTGACCTTGCTCTGTACATGCAGACCTTCTGTAGAAACCCTCTTCAGTATTGTTTCAGGTTTTATACGTTTTAATTAACTGACTTTTGCAGTGGTCACACATTCTGCTGTAGAGTTCTCCCTAATGAAGTTAAAAAGTAATTATTAATCAAAGGCAGTGAATTAATTAATTACCTTTATCAGTAGTACCTTATCAAATAATATAAAACAGCTGCTATGCCTGAGTTTTTGAATACATTGAGAATTTCTAAGTAATATTTTTAGCATACAGTCAAAATCAGGTTTGGCCAGAGATGGAGGAAAAGGGGAGACAGATGCCAGCTTCATTTCATTGAATGTTCATTTAAGACAAGATGTGAGGTCCAAGAATGCAGGTAATTATGTGGTATAACAGTTTTTTGACCACATCTCCTGGGCCTTCCTTAGAAATTTGACCTTGCTACAGCTCTGATCAGTGTTGGTATTTTTGTTGCAATGCGTTCTGTCATAAAGTAAAGTGTGTGTGTGTGTGTGTGTTTGTGTGCGGCTGCTGTGTCAGAAGCTAAAAGCCACACGGAGCTTCACTTTATGTTGAGCGTTGTCTCCATCTTGTGGTGACAGTTCGACACTGCACTGCTCTTTGCCATAACAGCAAAACATGGATTTAATATCCCTAACATTAGTGGTTTCCTTCTTCCTTTAGCCATGGATACAGAGATGTCCCCCTCCCACCTGCAGACGAAGGCCTATGTCCGCCAGTTACAGGTGATCGACAACCAGAACCTGCTGTTTGACATGTCCTGCAAACTGGAGCCCAAAGACACATAAAGAGATGGACAGGGGGAAGAGAAGGTGACAAAAAAGAAACTGGGATGGGGAGAAGAGGAGTAGGAGGAGGAGGATGACAATGTTCACAATGTTCAAAAGTCTTGTGTTAAGAAACAAAAAAGCCAAGAACCAAAGGCAAGATTTAAGTAGAAAGAGAGAGAAAGAAGTGATGGAAGGATTCTCATGCTGGAACTGGAAACCATCTCCTCCTCCTCCTCCTCCTTGTCCACCTCTTCACCTACTTGCAACATAAAAACAAAAAAAAAGATTTTTGATCAACAAGGAGAAGAAATTTCACTCACTCTACTACTTCTCCATCCATGTCTCTGACTGCTTGTTTAGGTTCTTTCTTTCCTTATCTCAGCCTCCTCCTCCTCTTCCTTCCCCATCCCTCCATCAACAGCTGCCCAGTCAAAACACTGCCAGAATCCCTGAAAACCACTAATGCTAAACAGACACATGGCCCAAATCACATAACATGAAATACGGATGTCTTTTCTGTTCATAATTCATTCAGAGTTTGTGGCTAAACCTCTAGATTATCTAGCAACAGATCGTCCGCTGGATTTTTCACTCCAAAATCCAGCTAGTTATCAGCATGGAACACTGTTGAAACATCTGTAAACATCTGTGGGGATTGTTCTGGAACCTTTGGCGAAGAAAGACTCAGCAGCATTAACATGGCATTCAAGAAGCTCCTCAGTCTGTCAATGGCAAATCGTCTACTGTAAGTTTGAGATACATTGCTGCTTTGAAATCTCTGCAAACATCAGACACAGGAGAACAGTGAAGAAGAAGAAATAAAACCATGTTGTCGTCATGTTGTTGGACATCTAAGAACTTAAAGGGACCACCAGACTCCCTACTGTTTTTGTTCCCCCTCCTGAGGCAGTTGACCAATCAGACTAGAGACAGTCTGGCAGCTGCCAAACCCTCCACAAAACAGCCTCCATGATGAATGAGTACAGTGAAAATTATACATTATTGGCCTGAATATTTTAAGTGGGAATTACATCTAAGGAGCGAGTGTTGTATTATATTCAAACACTAGACAATTACATATACACTACAACAGATTCTGTTCTTGAACAGGGACCATCCCGCTGTAACAGCAGTGCTTACAGAGTATTGCATTGTGGGGTGTAGAGCTGCAGTGATTATTCAGTGTGCATCACGCGATGCTGCCGTGCCAAGTGTGGACACCGGGGCAAAATCACCTCATAGATCAGCACCGTTTCTGGAGGACCGGAGAAAACAAGTCAAAGCGCCTCCTGATGTCTTTACCACAGAAACAGACTGAATCATTTGTCAGACAGACAAAAATGACCAATGTGAGGAGCTCAATAACAAAAGCAGCCAGTGGAAAATCAGAGGAAACCACTGAGACCACTTCTACAGTTTGACGGAATAAAATGAGACTGATGGACAAGCTGCACAGATGCGGGGTTTATGTTCTGCTTTAACACAAGTATTGAATTTTCCACTTGGGCCTTCTTGTTGGATGAACACTGTATCTGGCTACTTACTTTTTCAGCACTTTGAAAATGTTGCATATCTTCATAAAATCATTTTCTAAAAGTAGCTGATGGAAAAGAGTGGTAATATTATAGTCATGGTCACTGTGCAGCAGTGATTTTGTTCCCCAGGATCTTGTTTTTGAAGAACATGCGGACACAGGACACTGAAACTCTGCTGGAACAAAGTGACGTGAAACAACTCATCATGACACTAAACTCGTTTTCAAGCAGGTGGAACCAGTAAAATGTAGATACTACTACTTTGAAAAGTCTAAAGTGCGACTCAGAGTTTGCACCTGGGTGTCCAGCACGCAGAAATCTGTCATCTGGATTTCATAACTGAATATATTTTTCCATCAAAATTCTGAACAAAGGATCATGTTGTGGCTCTGTCACCATAATGAACTCGCAGTCCTGGTTGACTGTGTCCACGGTTTACATCAGTGTTAGCACTGTTAGGCTGACCTCTGATTTGTGGTTTGTATCAGCTGCCATATTTCACACAATCAGGAACACATTTCCTCCTGGATTTAACCTAAATAGTATCTTTGACAGACTTTCAGACACTGTGGGATGGTGCGTTAATGGACTCTGATCAGGATATTGGACTTTTTCTCTCTGGATGAGACCGTGTAGATGCTGGTTTTCTACTAAATTTGGTCTTAATCTCAGTTTGAAGACATTAACAAGCTCTTCAGTCTTTTCTGCATTTTGTTTCAGGACTTTAATGATGAATGTCATCATTAAACATCTCTCACAGTGTTTTATGATCCAAGAGGAATGTTGGAAACTTCATGTCACACTCAATTTAAAGGACCACATCACAGCTTTTTGCATGTTTTACCCAGTTTAGTACAAATCATGCACGTGCTGCATCAGCACTGGCTTCTCCAAAGCAGACCGCAGTGTCTAGAATGTGGTTTAGTTCCTCTGTGACGGTTCATTTCTCTAATATTCAACTTGCGTAGTGTGTAAAACTTGCACCCGGCCTGATATTATAATCAGGCCGGCTGATATTGCACCCGATTATGATATTATAATCACTCATATGCATGAAAATACATATGAGTGATTATGTTGATCTCTGGCTTTTATTTATTATAAACCACTTCGGTCTGTTTTGGGAAATGGTCAGTGCTCCATGATGTGTGTGTGTGTGTGTGTGTGTGTGTGTGCGTGTGTGTATGTGTGTGTGTGTGTGTGTGTGTGAGAGAGTTGGAGTAAATTAGATAAAACATGCAGGAAACCAGAGATATGTACCTTTTAAGAAAGTGACCAGCTAGGTGAATTAATAATTGCATGACAACCTGTCAGACATGTTTATGGGATGACATCATACCAGAAATAAAAACACAAACATACATAAGAGTTAACAAGGAGACTACTATTTCTCAGAATTGGGATATAACTGATCTCACACCTGAACAACCTATTGGCTTCAAGGAAGGACCTGATTGGCCCTCACAGAGCTGCCCTGCCATTGGTTGGTTCAGTGGATTGGCAGGTGGAGGCTCAAGGTGTTAACAGAGCAACAGGAAGTGAAGCGGGTTGATCGGCATCTCACATCAATGAAGCACTTTTGCCAAACCTCAGGGCTCGGAGACAGAGAGGTTTTGTTTACTCTTTATTCTTGATTTTCAGTAGAGTTCAGTTCAGTTGAGTCCAGTTGTGTTGCGATCAATTGCTTCTGTGTTTGTACAGCTGATCACGTCACACTTTTCATATTTACTATACAGTAATAATAGAAATCTATAAAGTTGTTGTTTTTATGCTGTGATCTCCACCAGGTCTGGGTCCAGTTTGTTTGCACTGAAACTTTTGGTTTGGTTTTTGAGTCACAGATCAACAAGTCAGAGCTGTGTACACTGTATAAAAAAAAAAAGACTCCATCTTAAGTAATTTTGTCTCAAGGGCCTCGTCACCACAGCATTATAACAGGCAAAGTTAAACCCAGTTTTGATGAATGCACACCTGGTACACACAGGTCTCTCACAAAGGTAAATGGTGGAAGATTTGAACTATACACTGATCACATATACGTGTGAGGGCATGTAGCACACTGACCCCAAGCCACAACATTTATTTAAAAAAATACCTTTTTATTTTTATCCAAGCCTATGGTAAAAAAAAATCTCCATGCTGCAGATTTGATGATGTAGACCCCAAGTGCGTTTAAACTGAATTAGAGCAACTTGTTTTATAGCTTATGAATTCAGTGTTTTATTTGTTAGAGTAAGAATAATTTTTCCACATTTAAAATTCCAGATTTTCTTTGAGACATTAAGACTTAGCTCTAGAAAAAATGATTTATGATGGAATTTTTTTCTTCCCTCATTGCACTAAAGAGTTTCACTCCAAGATGTTGTACATACTGTACAAAAATGATTTGTTTAGCTCTTCTGCAGCGGTGTCTGACCGAGCCCCCCAGCCCTTCAGGATTACTTCTCTCTGCAATCTGCTCTCAGAGAATAGACGTAATATTCTGATGATGAGAAATGATGTGATTTAGTGGGAGAATGTTTGTGAGGAAAAAAGGGGAAAGTTTATGATTTATGAAGCAAGTTTATGAATTTTGTGAGAAAATATTTTGAGAGAAAGGGGGGACATGTCAGATAAAAATCATGATATGAGGATTTCAGTCCAAATTTTGAGGTATATTGAGATGTTAATTCTTTCTTCCATATTAAGAGACCCTTAATTCAAAAAACCTCCCCTCATTATTCCCTCTTATTTGAGAATTTCCGGTAAGATAACTGTTGATAGTATTTTTCACTAAGATGGCCAGTCAATATTGTTGTTTATGGTTGGACTGAAACTCTTCAGTGTAACAAGGTGGTTTGTGTGTAGGTAGTTTCTGAAAAAGTGTAAATGGGTTTGTTTAGCTCTGGTGGCTGGGGAGAGTCATTTTCCATGTGTACCATAACATCCTGTCTGTAAACGTTCAGTCAGGCTGATCCCATCCAGAAATAAGTCCAACTTTTCACACAAAGGACACTTCGACATATCCATCATATCCAACTAATATCTTTGAAGTGTAGTAGGTTGAGGTTTCAGATGCTCAACTTAAGATTGGTTTAAATATTTATATTTTGTTTTACAACTTGGATTTTATTTTGGGACTTTATGGATGCAGTGAAACAAAAAAGACCGGATTTTAAATTAAAAAAATAAGTATTAATTGGTTCGTTAAGTTCCTTTAGATTAAGCTAGTCTGTCTTGCCTGTAACCACGCCCACTAGTGATGACTTAGTGTACTGGCCACACCCTCAGTACACTCCTGCAGCGCTCCCACAAGGTGTAAACATCAACCAAAAATATCACCTGGAGTTCAGTTTGGCTGCACTTCTGAAGTTCATCCATCCATCTATTATTGATACCATTTATCCTACAGAGATCAGACGAGAGGCGGGGTACACCCTGGACAGGTCAACTTCTTCAGCCATTAAATATTAATGGAGCAGTCTAACATTCTGAATTAAAACCTTGGGACAGGAGCAAAACAGAAATCCCCCAATTTTCCTCATATCATTCACAACAATGTGTGTTAATGGAGGTTGCTTAATTCTGGATGGGACACAACCTGCAAAATTTCTCCACTTTACAAGACCATATGGAGTCTTTACATTCTTTTTTTTTTCTCAAACCAGATAAATATTCCCCAGAAGAGTTAGAACCATCAAGGTCACAGGTTCAACTTAAGACTCTCAAAAACATGAGCTCAAACTCCTTTGAACATACTGTAACTTTGGCTTCAAACTTGCAAGAACTTGAGTTCAAGTTTGAACTTTCATGGAGCTGGTATTGGACTTTTATTCTTATAGATCAACTGTAGTCGGAGTTTCCAGCAACACAGATTCCAGCTTCCAAGTGCATGAGCTTAAACCCCTAATGAAAACTTGAACTTCCAAGTACGAGTTCAAACTCCTCTGAACACAAGTTCAAGTTTTGGCTTCCAGGAACATGAGTTCAGGTTCAGACTTCTAAGAACACAAGTTTGAGTTTGACCTCTCAAAAAGACAAGGTCAAAGTCCCAAGTGCCCATCACATCTACTGCTTCAGATTTCCTCCTAGCCTGAGAACAAAGTAAGTTTTCAGCACTCCATAGTTGATATTAAAGGTCTTGTCAAGATGTGAACTTTTGCAGTGAGTCAGCCTGGTACAAAGTCTAAAACCCAGTGAAGATGACATCATCAAAGTCTGGCGGTGGCTCTCTCAGGACCACTTCCTGGGTGTTGGGTGTGTTATTATGGAGTCCACTGTAGTTCTGGGCAGAAACAAAAGACCTGAATGCCAACCATCTCTTTAGAGATATTTAGAGATGGTTGGGATGGTAAAGAAAACCATTATCAACAATAAATCTAATCTAAACTAACTAAACCTTCTAGTTTTTGGCTCTGTCTTAGTTTCTGCCTGTAATTCTACAGAGATCCATAATTTTGGAAAGCAGGTGGCCTTGACCTGTGAGGCTGCCTGCTTTCTATTGCCTCCTACTGTCGCCTGTATGAAAACACTGAAAAAATAACTATCTGTGTATATTGCAACCCTGTAAATAGGCAAATACTAATGGAGACTCTATTTTATGTACGAGCTGAGAGGAAGAGTGACACAAACTCAAGGAGAAATATTTGATTTGGTGTTTCTTATTTGCAAAAGTGAGAGAACATGTACAGTAATGCTAGAAAGAGAAATATTATGAATTTATGACTAAGAATTTTACAGTTAAATATCTTCTGTTGGACTGTTTTGTTTTCTATATAAAGCTTGGGTTTGTTTGTTTTTGTACAGAAGTGGTTGTTTACATCGATACAGGTCCTTATTTCTGTGAATGCCGGACAGATGATGCGATTAGAGCAGATGTTTGCTGGGGGCGGGTCCTGGGGTGTTGGAGTTGTATTAGGGCTTATTCCTGAAAAACACTGCAAAAAGAAAGAACTGGAATTTAATCGAGCCTGCTGTAATGTACGACAGACTATTAGAGCAGCTGGTAAAGGAAAAATAAAATCCCAGCATTTTAAGGAGAAAGTAGATGTTATGGAACCAAATCATAATTTTACTATAGGAAAAGTATCATTTTACAAGTAAAATCATCATCAAAGTGTAAATTTGCAAGAAAAATGTTGGGAATCATGTTGCATTAAAGTTGTGATTATGTTGCATTGTATAACGATGCAATTACAAAAAAAACCCCTTAACCTGGTTAAAATATTTTTGTATAAAATTACATTATCTCAAAGGATCTTTCATTTACAACCTTTCTTGCAAAAATGAATTAAACCTAATAACATTAATTATTACAATATTCATAATATAGTTACACTTTTATTACTGCAGTCACAGCTTGATAACATATTATGATTAGCACTTTTGTGTGTTTAGCGTCTGTAAAAACAATCAATTTTTACAAATATGATAAAGTCTTCCTTCAGGGGAAGTTTGTAATTGATTAGGCGTTTAGTCAAAATGACTGTAAGGACTGCGTTTGTCCCGTCTCCTGCAAACCTCTGCTCCTTTTGCCGTCACACTACAGACACTGAAATAAAACCTTTGGACAACAGCAACAAAGCCGCCTCACGTTCTGTGTGTTTATGTACTACACAAACCCTCTACACTCAGCACTTTACTGAAAAAGTCACTATTCTGAGTTTTTAAGTAAGCTGTGATACAGCAGTGTAAAACACTCCAGTAAGGGAGGAGTCCTCTGCAGGCTCCCAGCCAGGAGCAACCTTTCATTCATTATTTTATTTATTATTAATATAAAGATTGAATTAAAGGCTAAAGAAGTCATTGTAGGACATTCAGAGATTGTTCTGCTGATTAGGGACGCCTGTTTATACTAAAAGGAAAACTTGTTCTCGCCTTTTTCATGTTGGTCTCTTTTTGATGATTTGTAATTAAGGATCCTCTGACTTTACACCTGGTGCCATCATCAAGCCAACATTTTAATTTGTTTATGATCAAACACCTTCTAAACATTCACATCAGCCTCAGGTGTACCTCAGTTTACTTCCTGATTTTGACGTTAGTTACACACGTAGCCCAACTCAGTTTTCAGGATGGGTAACAGGAGAGGCCATGCAGCTGTGTTCTTACAGGGCTCCCGTGGTCCAAATGCATCGCAATATAAGATGGAAAAGCATCTTGACATCTTGAGTGTGTGCGTGAGCAGGGGGTGTGTGTTTTAATTTCACTGGCTATGGTCGCTGCTTCCCCGCCAGGACTGTACACTGGACCAGGTTCCTCCTTGGTTTCCATCCCTGTTTAGGAGAAGGGTTATATTTAGAGTCAAATTTAGGGGATGGGGGAAGGTTGGAGCTTCAGATTAGAGATGTGTACAGTATTGTGTTTACATGAGTGCGTGTTAGTTCCAGTTTAATTTCAATTATTATATAACGGGTGCATTTTGAGAAAGTGAACCTCTCTTACATAATGCATTATGTAACTTTACAATATAGCGAGGGTTCAGTGGTTGAAGAAGTATTCAGATCCTTCAGTGAAAGTAAAAATACTGTAAATGTCCTGTGCTCAACATCTTAAGTTAAAGAAAAGACAAATGCTCAGCAAAATGAACTTAAAGTATAGAAAGTATGTAATTTAGTGTGTATTGTCCACTCAAATTTGCCCAAATGTTAATTAGTACTGGTATGTATTAATATTAGGATAATTATTGTTGTTCTTAGTGCTGTTATTATTTATGGTTGAATTATTATTGATGAAATACATGTAAGCAGCATTTTGTTAAAGACATGTAACTGAATTCGGGATAGTTCTTGCACTGTTCTATTTTTTTAGACCTTACTGCTGCCATACAGTTGATCACTGCATATTAACTGATCAGTTTGAAAAATGGGTGGATGTGACAGGTACTGCTCGAGTGGTTCAAGTCTTAGAAGTGACAGAACTTTCTCTGTGTCTGTAGGGAACGCCTTGTCTGCTAGTTCAGCGATCACCCGTGGCCTTCCACAGGGGTCTTTTATTGTTTTCTATATATATTAATCTCTCAGAGAGGTTGCTTGACATTGGAAAACTTCACTGTTATGCCAGTGAGACTGACTTATATCTGTTCATAAGTCCAGCAGACATCTTGTGACATTACAACCTGCCTGGTAGATATAAAATAGCTGGTATGTTTCTATGTTAAATACAGAGGAAACTGGAGTGATGGTCTTTGAACCAACAGCACAGGGAATTTGTAAGGCATGCTTTCGTTTCCTTAGACACGTGTTGTACAAAGGAGACTACAAATCTATGGATGATTCTTGATTCTGACCTGAACTTTACATACTAACAAAAAGGACCATTGCTAAGATCAAGTCTTTTCTTCCAGTTCAGGATGCAAAACCCCATATTCTTGCCTTTTGTTAAAGCCACTTGGACTGTTTCCTTGCACTGGCTACATGGCAAATCACTTTGCTTGCCTCGTGCATGAGCTTCCTTGTTTGCTTCCATGTTGTACAACCTACTGCTTCGACACAGTAGCAGTGTGAGCTGTCTGAGTTTAAACTAAATGTATATTCCTGCAGTTTCAGTGCAAAAATCATCCACAGACTTAATATAATCCAGACCAACTCATTGGAATTAACAGCTAATTCTTCACTGAACTAAAATGCAGGTTATCATTTGGAGATTGTTTTTTAATATTCATATTATATTGTTATTTTTTTATAATTTGTGCAATTGCAGGCACCAAAACAACTTTTCTTCTTGTTCTCAGTCACACGTGTTTGCACAAGGCCATATACAGCTACTGGGACAAATTAGCAGCAAGACTGGGTGGTGGCATCATGTCCAGCTCTTAACATCCACAGTTCAACCCAGGTCAACCTCTGACTTCAACTTAGAAATAAAAGTACACAATAAAAGTGTGAGAATATTGAATTACTAAGGCAAAAATGAAAAATGACAAAAAAATTATGACCTTTTGACACATAGACTGTATGATTTGACATCAGAAAGTGATCTGACTCATGATGCCTGGACAGGACTGATAAAGCAGTGGACAGCTGATAGTTCAGTGACAAAGCAGCAGGCAAACGAGTTAAACCTGAGCCAATCTCGGCAGTGCTGACACGGCTAAGCCTGAGCCAGCACGCTGATGGTCACATGTCATGTTGTGCTGCTTGAATGTATGTAGTTCAAATGGACATATGTAGACTGTGACTGTATATGGCTCATTGGTACAGTGTACAGAGGACAGTTTCTGCAAAATGAGGACATTTATTTTTTTAACAAAGTGGGGATGCCTTTGGAAAGTGGGAATATTTTGAAGGCCAGGACTTTTTTAATGTGTAGACCTTTAAGAAAACAGAGACACATTTAGAGAGGTGAGCAAAGTGAAATGGGTCTTCACAAAGATAGAACTACAAACTAACATTGTGCAGGGTTATACAGAGCTGTCATCCAGCCAGTCATACTGTACGTACACAAGCCATGCCCCCAGAACGCAAATACACACACACTTTTGGACAACCTCCAACCCTCCCTCCCCCACAGCAAAGCCTCTAAATAGGGCTGCACTCGGGCTCTTGGGCCTTGGTGATCGCATCCACTCCGCCGGCGACTTGACTTCACAAGTTCTCTTCAAATCCCGAAACCAAGGTATAGTCTCTCTCACACACACATACATAACACACACACACAAACATTCAAGTATTTTGTGCATGTTTTAAAAGCCATATTGATTTGATTTAAATATAAAAATAATTTATAAAGCACGCACAAAGTCCACCAGAAGCAGCTTATTGCTAGAACTGTCAGAGCAGCTTTTTTTTTTTTTTTATAGAAATTTCCCTGCATACTCTAAGTTTTGTGTTCGTGTTGCACTGCAGCACGTGCATGTGTTGCGATGACATGCTGGATGGCTGTGGACAGCTGCACATAGTCAGACCTCTTTGGTTTCAGCACACGCTGATTGTTGTGTGGACTTAAATGAGGGTTTACAAGATGATATTTATACCCTGTGCTTGTGTATCAGCCTTTGTAAATGAAATTGTGCACTCGAAAACCAGGGTTGAAAAAAGGTTTAAGATTAAAAAGATTTAAGGCATAAAACTGTAACTCTGTGGCTTTTGACACATTTTCTTAATGTGCTATTTTTGTTCAGATTCAAATCTTTTCTACACATTCAAAATCAGAATTTGTCAGGTAAAGTTTTTTCCATGAGTTTAATGGCTGACAGAAGTCCAGAGTCTGTCTTCTGAGCGCTTGGTAAAATTGGTGGTGGTGTGTTCATCCTTCACATGTTTTCTATAGCTGCCTTACAACTGAGATTTAATTGCTAAACTAAAAATACATTTTAAGTTGCAAAAGTGTGCTTATTTTTTAATTTCTGAAAAACTGACAAGTTAGGTTTTGATGCTTCTTGAGGGAATGCTGGGCTGATGGTGGCAGCAGAGTAGAAGTCACAAGGATCAACAGATTTATTAGGGGTCACCTTCTGTGGAAAATGAATTTAATCAGTTCAGCTTATGTGAAGATCCAGCACAGTTTTTCTCTGGACCAAAACTCCCACAGACCAACAGCATGCTGCTCACAGGGCAACAAAGGGGCATGTGGAGTTTAGGACTTGGCGCCCTGTGCTTAATTTGTTTTGATAGATCAAGAGAACATAAGCTGAGTATGTGTCCTGGAATCTTAATGACAGTCGGAAACATCACGCCTGGAGTTTCTCACAGTATTAAGTGATGTCCTCTGATCTGATGGCCTGTGGCTGACCCTCTGCTCTGCTGTTTCCAGGTGCTCCCACATGTTTTCTGCTATCTCAGCCTGAATTGTTGCCAGAGCCACCAGCTTTCACCGGATATCAGTGTCACATGGCCAGACACCAACAGGCAGTAAAATTAGAAAACAGGGCAGCCAGGCAAATTATGAGCAGGTGTCAAGTGGATGGTTTCCATGTTGACAAGAAAACATCCAAACTCAGATGCAATTTTGATTGCAGCTTTGCTCCTTCAGCATAATCAAGTCCAGCTTGAGAAAGTTTCTCTAATGATTCAGTATCATCTCATGTCTTTAAAGAATAATATTGGGCTGCTGTGACCCACAGCTGGTTATTTAGTTACACCTGAAGGAAGATTTGGGAAGGATCTGAAATGTGAAGTGGCATTTTCAATGTGACAATATGGACTAGAGGAGAACAGAAAAGAGGAGTGAGAGCGATTACAAAAAGAAACATTTAAAAGACTTAATCCAGTGTCTTAAACTGTGCAGTCTGAACAAAGATAGCCTGTAGTGTGTTTGTTTTTGGACCTAAAGAAATTTTAATGTGAAATTGCTAGGCTCTTCATAACACACCCACTTAGGTTTTCAATCCAAAATGTTTTGGAGTCGACGCAGCTTGTACCTCCTCCAGCTTGACTTAAAAATCACAGACTAAAGAACAGACTGCAGCACAAACCCCGTCTTCTAAAAATGTTTGTGGTTTCATGGAAAATTACAGTAAAATAAATGAGCCTCATACTTCGTTTTTGCTGTTGCAAATCTGTAGTACTATATATGAAATGATCCCTTTTGCTCCTCCAAAGTCTATCTACATTTTGTTCACCATCTTGGTTCCCAACTGTCAAACCTACAGTATGTGTAATATTTGACAATAAGATTTTTATTTTAAGTTAGTCACGTACTATATTTATCAGGTGAGCGGCGTGTCAAAAAACCAGTCTTTTCTCCCTCAAGCTGATTTCAAGAAGGTCATTAACACTGTTATTTCAGCTTGGTTAGATTTGAATTCACCGTGTTCAGGGTTTAAAGCCAAAAACCATGTCAGGTCTTCAGCTTGTAACTAAGAACAGAACATTTTGAGCACCTTACCTGCCTCATTGCAGATAAAACTGGCAGTGGTTCAGCTAGGTAAAACATGTTGCTTGTGAAAATGCTATATAAAGAAAGTTTATTATTCATATGTTATTGTTTATAAAATAATGAACATATACCATACAGGTTGGCAAGCACACAAATTGATTTGCAACCTTTAATAGAGTAAACAGACCCCACTGTCTTCAGTAGAGGCAAAATGGACAAAGACGTGAAAAAATACGTACAGTATATAGTCGACCTCAAACATGTCGAACTTCAAACTGTTTTATTCAATTTCAACTTAATTACACATATTTCCACAGACACCTCTTCCATTACTGATGACGTTACCTGCAGTTAGTGTTTGTTTGTTTGTTTGTTTATGGGTGGATTAAAAAGAGAACACTATGTGTTTTTCTGCCGGCAGCCTTCTCTCAGCAGACATGGAACGTACCTTCATTGCTGTGAAGCCTGATGGCGTCCAGAGAGGACTGTGCGGCGAGATCATCAAGCGCTTCGAGCACAGGGGCTTCAAGTTGATTGCTGCCAAATTCTTGCAGGTAACCATGACAAGGAACTTTTGAATGTTTAATGTTTGAAGGGTTTTTTTTAGGGGTAGGGGGTTAGAATTTTCCCCATTTTGAATTCTAGCCTCAGGCAGTTTGCTGTATTAAGATGCTTAATTATTTCAATTTTGAGTAGAACAACACAAACAAGGAGATGATCCAGTAACCGAGCAGTAATATAAGCTAGACAGCACTCAGCACAAACCTCTGTCAAGGCAGCTCAGTCTCCCCATAATACCTTTCCACCTAAAAGTAATATTCCCATGATAGTTTGACTACCATAGTATAATTCCTTGACCATGAAAACCTATTGCTGGCATTTGGAAGCACATTAATATCATTATTTTCAAGAAAAATGATATTGCAGTAAAGGCAGTTATCTTCAGGATCCTGGCATCGTTTATGGAGCTAGAAGCCAAAATAATGAAACTGGTCCTACTCCCAGTGGTGAAGAATCCTTTTTAAAAAAATTCCTGGACCTGGATGATGATGATCCGGATCAGCACCGAGATATAATGGATTCTTCAGAGGGCAATACCGTACCTCGCCAAAAAAGGTTTCATCCAAATCCATTCATTACTCTTTGAGTTATGCTGTGAACAAACCAACAAAAACTGGTAAAAACCTAACCACCTCGATCATTAACTGTTCATACAGCAGTTACTGTATGAACGCTTCACAGTAGAAGTTACTGTTTTTGACCAACCCTCCAAAATGTAGCTGTGTACAAGTATAGATAGTTTAAGTTGTAGAAAATGCTAACACTCAAGTAAAGTAAAAATACCTCAGAATAATATTAGACAAAATGTAATGTGTTTAGGCCTCTGAGGACCACCTGAAGAAGCACTACCTGGACCTGAAGGACATGCCTTTCTATGCTGGACTCTGCAAATACATGTCTTCTGGACCCATCCTCGCTATGGTAACACGCACGCACACACACACACACACACACACACACACACACACACACACACACACACACACACACACACACAAAATAAGCACGAGCTTATTTCTGGCATGGATATCTGTCAAATATCTTTCCATTTCATCAACTCTCTTTCTCTCCCCCTATTTGTGTCTGTGCTCACTCGCCCAGTTGTCCTCACTGTCTCTCTTCACACCCTCTTATTTTCATGGTCTCGCTCCTTTTATGGAGCAGGCCACAGCGTCCACCAGGGTGTGTGATCAGACTGAGAGGTGACGCTGCTGACATGCTCGAACTCATTTTTGATTCAGCATAACTAATATCTTAAATAGCAGGTGCGCTATTGACTATTCCCTTACCTGAACTGGTGAGCTCCACCCTTGACTATGGCCTTCTCTGATTGATTAGAAGGACAAGGCTTACTGCAGTTTACTGCCTCTGCTGTGTCTTCCATTGATCACATACAGATCCATAACCTGAGTGAGCCACCCTGACCACACAGGTAACAGGTGTGTGTGTTAATGTGTGTTTCAGGTGTGGGAGGGACAGAACATTGTGAAGCTTGTCAGGATGATGCTGGGTGAGACTGACCCTGCTGAATCCAAGCCCGGCAGCATCCGTGGAGACCTGTGCATCAACATCAGCAGGTGAGCAATATTAACACAGACACAGCAGGTAACCCTACACACACCTGGCAAACTGACAAAATGACTATTTATCTTACTCTCATCATCCAACTCTGAAATCTGACTCAGTGAATCTTGAATCAAACTGTGAGGAAAATTTAAGGTTATGTTCTGGAGTAGCCATAAGGAGTAATGCAACAGTATAATGTACTCTGTGAAAATAGTACATTTTACTTCATGTACAGTACTTAAGAGTCAAAAGTATAATACTGGAAAATTTTTATTTGAATTTTCTACTTGGTTATGATGATAGTAAAAATATGACTTTATACTTTATATTACTGAGTAGCTTAAACTCTCACAGTGCATCATATTTAATGAACTTATATACTGGAGAGTGCCGTAGCAGTGAGTCCTAAAACCCGGAACAGAGTTACCATTTTTGCACTTCCGGTTCTCTCGCCTTGAAGTCTATGAATTTTTTTTAATGGGTTTTTGGTTAGACGCCTGAAAACAGGTCTGTGATTAACACGAGGCCATTGCATTTTCATGTTTTGTTCTATGAAATACAATATGTTAGTAACTACCCCATTCGTGATTTTTTAATGCTTTTATGTGTCTTAAAAAAGGTGATTGCTAACAAGTGGCTAAATAAGACTACAGAGATTAATTGTCATCATGACAAACACGGAGACTCATCTACCCACTAGGCCACCTTTACAGCCTTGTTATTTTCAAACCTGGGCACCTGCAAACTATTCAAGTCAAGTGACACAGCCATAATCACTAGCTAGATCAGGTCACACTAAAAGGAAAGGATTATGTCAAAGAAGTAAGCATTATAAATCAAATTACAAGTTGGAAGCCAAGGTTGAAGCCAAGGAACCATGATGTAGTTCATTGCTAGCTTACAATAGCTTTTTATTTTTGGCAATTGTAGCCAGGCTTCAAAATCATGAAAGTAATGTTCATGATTATCTTGCTGAACAAAACATGTCATAAACCATTGTTTGTCACAGAGCTTATTTTCAGTAGTAATCCAAAAGTCTATGGAAAAACCCCATTGGCTTTTTGTCAAGGCAACCAGGGTGATGCTAACTTCTGAGTTGGCCTGCTAAAATAGTATAAAATAAAGTCGTCACAATTTATTTGTATAGCACTTTAAAAATAACAGCATGTTGACCAAAGCACTTCACAGATACAAAATACATTAAAAAATAGTAAAAATTTAAAATAAGACAATACAATCACAAAAATGAGTCAACTTCTCTAGGAATCATAGGCCAGAGGAAGCAAGTAGGTTTTTAGTAAGGATTTAAACTCTGACAGCTCAGAGACAGATCTAAGATTTAAGGGGAGGGAGTTCCAGTCTTGGGGCTGCATACTGAGAAAGTGCAATATCCCCATTAACATTGATTGACCCTAGAAACCTCTAACAAAAACTATTTGCTAATCTGAGAGCTCTCGAAGGCCTATGCCACTGTACAAGATAAGAAAGGTATTCTGGGCTGTACCATTTAATACTTTAAATCTAATTAACAGCAACTTCAACTGAATCCTTACATGAATGCGTAAGCAATGAAGAGAGGAAAGGGATATATGGTCAAATTTGCCTTGGTCTGAAACCAGACTGAAGCTTTTCTATGATCCCATTAGCAGTTAGAGAGGCTTGCAATTGAATAAAAAAAAACCTTTTTTCTCTAAAATTTTTGTTTAAAAGGATACAATTATTCTAAAATTAATTAAAAATTTTCAAAAATAAAATATTTAAATTAGGTTTTGTAAGAATGGGCTGCACAACAGCATGCTTGAACATTGCAGAAAAAGAGTCGGAGCTCAAACAGCATTTAATAAAGAAAAACAGGTCCAACAGCTTTAAAAACATCCTCACCATCAAATACATCATCTCTATGGTTTGTAAGTAAAATCTCTATTTGTAGTTTTAAATTCACCTACTGCTATCAAATATGGTAATTACTGAAAACCTTATATGTAATTAAGTTAAGTTACACTTGCTCAAAGCAGAAAAAATAATATTCTGCAGGTCAGAGACCAGTGCCTTTCTCAAGGGCACTGACAGGAATGTACAAAGTTCTAATGTTCTCCAAAACTGCTATACATTTAACTGAAAACAATAACACAACACTAAGCTCTCCTGTTTTCTCAGGAACATCATCCATGGCAGCGACACCCTGGCGAGTGCCAAGACCGAGATCGAACTTTGGTTCAAGCCCGAGGAGTTCGTGTCTTACACCCAGTGCTCCACACCCTTCCTGTATGAGTAAACTGTCTAACCACCAACTACACTCAACTCGTCCCACTTCCCCAACCTCTGTCACACATGTACCCCCTGCAGTTGATCCTCTGACTTGGTCTTCAGTGACAGATCCAAAACATGTAGTACTTGTCAATAAAGTCTAATGTTAATAACATCAACAACAGTCTCTGAGTCCTTTAAGAGCATTCAATCATTTTATATATTATTAGCCTTCTTAGCAGCAGTGCTTTGAGCTAAATGTTAGCATCAGCACGCCAATATGTTCACGGGGACAATGCTAACATGCTAATGTTTAGCACACCTGCGGTTGATGGGAATATCATTCGTTTAGCAGGTATTTGGTCATAAACCAAATTATTAGACAAATTAAAATGGTAACCTGATAGTGGGGATTGCAATTTATCCAGAGGGAAACAAATTTCTTCACAGTTCATTCAATAAAACAGCAGGACCTTATCAGGTTCTTGCATTTTAAGGTCTGATCCCAGATTTTTATATCAGTCTTAAAGAGCCCGTGGCTGTTACGGGCCCCAAGTGCCGGGGCTGCGTAGCAGTGAATTAGTGCAGCCTGGAAAACACAATGTGACATCAGAACAGAACTCTCACGGTGCGCTGACATTCGCATCCAGACTGCATCTGGGTTTATTCAAACATTAACATTCAA